TCCCTTCCTGGCTCCCCTCACTTGTGTACCCTGTTCTTGCTCCAATCCTGGAGGCAGCAACTCCAAGGAGACAAAGGAACTTCTGGGGATGACGTGTTGACACCTTGGCAAAGGGAAAGTCACACAACCATAGCAGCTGATGGCCCCACTGCCTCCCAGGCGTGACCTTCCGAGCCTGTTTGTGGGGAGGAGCCCGGTTCTGGGGGTCCCTGCAGCTTCAAGTCATGCTCGGTTTATTTATTCAAGAACACAAACCTGAATGTACCGTTTTCAAGCAGTTTTACCTTTATTGAAATCTTCAAAATTAGTAAATAAATAAAAGACTGGGATTCGGAATGGTCTTTGGCGGCGCCCACATCCCTTCCGGGGAAGCCTTGCTTCCTGGCAGTGTCTGATAAGGGCTTTTCAGGAACTGCACAGGGGACCCGGGAGCAGTCACAGGAGGAAGACAGGGCACAACCCCTGCGCTGGCTGCCGGGAGACCCTATCTTTCTCTTCCACCTTTGCATCCGGGGGAAATTCCAGGCCTGTCTGGAGACCCTCGGAACTGCTGGGAGGCCTGCCCTTCCACCTGTGAGGGTCGGCTCAGGCCTGGGAGGAAAGGAAAGGAAATAATCCTGACACCGTTTGATCACAGGCAGAGTGGTTATCTTTCCACAGGAAGCTTCCTGAGGAAGAACGGCAAGCGGTCTGGAATGAGGATGCACTGTGTCAGCCTCTGTCTGCCACACCAGACACCCCAGGCCCGGGCCTCGCTGTGAGTGGCACTGTGGTCACGCTGGGCCAGAGTTCAGCCGAGAGAGTTCAGCCGAGACATGTCACATTCCGTTGAAGTCTTTGTCCTTGTCTGACTATGGTGGCTCAGGAACTCTTCCCTGAAGCTCGGGGATGCCAGGGCCTCTGAGAAAAGCCCATTTCTAATCCACTGGTAGGAAGTCACGGTTTTCTCTGTTGGGCGTGGTGGCACACGCCTGTTATCCCAGCACTCAGGAGGCCGAGGCAGGAGCATTGCTGCGAATCTGAGGGCAGCCTGGACTCCATAGTGAGACCCTGTTTCTAGAAACCAAGAAAAAAAATCATGGATTTTCTTTTAAGGTCAACATACTACATGTCTACCCTATTGGTCCCAAAGGTACCAGATGCTCATCTCATAGAAAATGGACTTCACACTTGTCCCCTCTTCCCTCTCCGTGTCCCACTGCCCAGCCTTCTTTCTGCTGTGAGTCTGGGACTTGAAGTTGTTCCACATCTCATTTGTTTAGCTGCTGCAACAACATACCTCAGAGAGGGCAGTTTCGCCCCAGTCAGGTCCTTGTGTCTTTTTATTAACTGTACGCGAGGAAAATAGGTTACAAATGACACATCACAATGTGTACCTTACAGAGCACACATTATGCAGATGGTGTTTTCTTCCTTTATGAGTCCTTATTCTGGGGACCCACCTCAAACTTTTTATGGGTGTATACAAACGCAGTTTATTGTATCATACACTTGGCCATTATATACTGATAGAAACCAGAATTCAAAACCCTAAATAAATGTCAGTGCTGAAACTAATGATTCTGGGACTGTGTCTGTTGCAAACCCATAACCGACCGTTAGCATAACCGTTTCTTAGCAATCTTTAGGTTTTCCCAGTGCTGACTGGTTTTCCTTTTTTCATTTATTTTCATTTTAATTTTGATTTGTCCATGTTTGCAGGATATGATAACCACATTCCTGTGGGGAGTTGGAACACATCTTAATTCTTTCTTCATCCCCATCTCCTCCTCTTCCTCCCTCGATCTCTTGGTCTCCTTCCATCTTCAAAAGACCCACTTCCCTGTTTCATATACTCTTGTTTGTTTGTTTGTTTGGTACCAGGGATTAAATTTGTGAGGCAGGCGACTGAACCACTGAGCGAAATCCCCGGCCCAATTTCCTATCATCTTTTATTTTAAAGTGGGCAATTTTTAAACACCAGAAGTTTATTGCTTGCAGTTCCAAAAGACTGTGTCTGGAAGCCCAAGCTCAAGGTCCCCACAGGTTGGCTGTCTGCAAAGGGTGCCCCTATGGAAGGAGGGGACACACTGCCTCAGCCTTGTAGATAAGGACCACCAGCCCACCCTCATGACTAACCACCCCTAGAGGCCTCACTTCTTCACTGTGATGGGAAATTGTTTTCAACCTAAGATCCTGCAGACACAAACTTTCAGAGCATAGCATCCACAGTCCTGTTAACATCTGAAATCAGAACCCAGGTGCATTAGTCAGCTTTCCATCACTGTAGCAAAATAACCTACAGCAATTCACTCATAAGAAGAAGAGGGTTATTTTGGCTCATGGGTTTGGAGGTTCCAGTCCATGACAGTGTGGCCCCATCCTGTCGGCCTCTCGGAAGGGCCCTGGATGGTGCTGGTGTGTGTGTGTGTGGTGGGGGAGGGATGAGGAAGAGCAAACTGCTTATGTCGGGAGCCTGGAATCAAACAGCAAGACAGGAAGACAGTCGGGCATGGTGGTGCACACCTGTAATCCCAGCACTCAGGAGGCTGAGGCAGGAGGATCACTGTGAGTTTGAGTCCAGCCTGGGCTATGGGCATCCAAGGGGGCTGTGTACATCCCTCCGCCCACACCCTGCCCCGTGCAGCAAACATGAGGACTGCTGACACCAAGGAACACGGGGCCTGGATCGTGGTTGGATCGATGGCTGAGATCAGGAGGAGAGGAGATGGGTGGACGGGGCTCTGCGGCACTGCGCACTCTCAGAGGGTGGAGCTCCTTCAGGAGGAAGCTTGAAGGATCCCAAGGTGGGTCAAGTAGGCAGGAGACAGAGCAGCAGTGCCTGTGGCTGGACTGGTGTGGAGGGCACGCCCCATGTCACCGCACGGGGTGTGCAGAACACCCACTCACAGATGAGGAGACGTGTGGCTTTCCCACGGGCAGAGCTAGAGCCAGGACTCGAACGAGGGTCTATCTGACGGAGGGTTTCTGCTAACCACGGTCTGGGAAGGCGTCCTCAGTCCCACAGGCTTCTTTTTAATTAAGGCAGATCAGGCATTCATGTGGGTGACTCAGGCCTTTGTTTGTCACCACAGAGCAAGATGAGCCGCCCCAGGTTTGTGGGGGTTCTGGGAAGCAACTGTCAGGACTTCCCAGCCCAGCTCATCTCAGGACACTGTTTGCCTGGCCCACGGGAGGGCTGTGGGGTTGGAGAGGGCTGGAAGGCACGTGATGGATGCTGTAATCCTGGTTTTGTAAGATTAGCAGTGTGACTCTGGAGAAGCCACGTGTCTCTGGTTTCAATTTTTCCATTTGAAAATGAAGGAATTGCAGTAATTCTACCAGTAGGACTAGACAAAAAGTACACAGACACCAGACACATAGCCTAGAGCAGTGGTGGCCAGCCTAAGACACGCGTGCTGCAGGCAGCTGTGTTATCACTGGAAGCTCTAAAAGGTTCGCCATCACTGGCTACAAGGTCAGTGTCAGCTCTGTACGAAAGCATGAAAAACCAAAGACCACCCATGAGGATAACAAGAAGCTATGTGGCCATGTGTGGTAGTGACCTCTGGGTTGGTTCCCGAGCCACCCCCACCCTCTGTCCCCATGGAATGATGGCTACATGGTCAATAGCACGGGGCAGAGTAATGTCACTCCTCAGCCTAGATTACGAAAAGGCAGTGGCTTCCGGTGGGTGCTCCCCCAGCCCCCGCTCTCTGATGTCTTGCTCAAGGGAAGCCTCATTGTGAGCCTTGTGGAGAGAGCCCGTGTGGACCACACCTGGGTCAACCCTCAGGCAGGCATGCGAGTGAGCTTCCCGCTGGCCAATCTTCCAACCCTTCGGGCCTTCATGAACGGTAGCCCCAGCCTCAGGTCAGCCACAGCCTCATGCCAGGCCCTGGTCCAGAGCTGCCAGGGGGCACCGTTCTGGGATTCCTGACCTCAGCAGCAGTGTGATAGTGTATCTCGTAAGCTGCTAGTGGGGTGAGGGAGGTGTGGCTTATTACTCAGCAATAGATAACAACTATGTCTCATACTGTAGAATAGTATGCAACAGTTAAAACAGTGGAGTAGATCTATGTGCTCCGATAGGGAAAGATTTCTAAGATGTGCTGTTAAGAGAAAATAATAAGTGCAGAAAAACACCTACACGAGGTATGATAAAATATGTGCTGAATATTTAAATTAAAAATTTTATTACAGAAAAAGACACATTGCCATCAATCCCCCTTAAAATACTTCTTTTAAAAAAAATTTATCCCTTGTTCCTGCCACTTTCTGAAGCAGTTCTGGCTGTCCTCTCTCATGAGTGTCTTTATGAGGTGAGATTAAAAAATACAGTGACTGCTGCTGCCGAGCGCCTCCGTCAGAAAGGCAGCTCATAAAAACAGGACGCGGTGCCCTCCTCACCTTATTCACCAGATCTGGCGCCGTGTGACTTCTGGCTCTTCCCCAAAGTCAAAATGACCATGAAAGGTCAAAATTTGAGCTGGTTTGGGATGCAGAGGCAGCCACAACAGCAGAACTAAAGACATCCAGAACTTCTTTAGAAAGTGCCAAGAACAGGGGATAAATGTGTTCAAAGTGAGGGAGAAGATTTTGAGGGGGATTCATGGCAATGTGTCTTTTTTTTTTTGGTACCAGTGATCGAACTCGGGACCTTGTGCTTGCACGGCAGGCGCCGGAACCACTGAGCTAAATCCCCAGCCCAAGGCAATGTGTCTTTCACTGTAATAAAATTTTTAAAATGTATACATTCACCGATTTTCCAATCATACCTCATAGCTGTGCCTATTTCGTGTAGCATGCCACCATCACCCACTATGTATTTCATATCTTTTAAGTATAAATGTGTACATGTCATAACTCATTATAGTTCCATATATCTTATCAGTTTGTCTCTCAGTAAGGAAGTTAGAGGAAGATGCAAAAGAAGATTTTCATTTTTCATTCAATATACTATAATGCATGTGATATATGTATATTTAAAATTTTTACCATGATAATGTGTCCATGCATTATTTATATACAATAAAACTTTCTTCTTGAAACAGTTTTGACAGCCTAGTCACTGAGGTCTCTTTCAATTCAGATGTTTTACAGCCCTATTAATATAATCACTTCCATGCAAATTAATGGGATATTGTTTATTACCTCTTTATGAGTGAACATCAAAAGTTTGATAAATCAATTGTTGACAAAGACGTGGGGAAAATGGATACTCTCCTATCTGGCTGCTGGGAGAAGAAACTGAAAATCAACTGGAAGAGAATAAGACAGCATCGACTAAAACAAAGAATACAAACTTCACACCTTTGGTAGTCTAGTACTCCCACTCAAAAAATTCATTTCTTTATATGGAAACACACTGGGAACAAGATGGAGAATCTTAAAATTTTAAAGGAAACAGCACATTGCTGATTACTACCTGTGTTGCCATCAATAGACACCAGCTGGTTTCCTAATGTTTCTATGAAAAATGATAGAAAACTGCCTGCAATGGTGTGAGCCAAAGGTGCAAGGGTAAGTATCTCTCGAAGAAGGGAAGAGAATATAATTGATGGATTAATTAAAAGGGACTTAACTTTTAGCTGTAATGTTCTAATTTGATTAAATAGTTAAGAAGCACTCTACCAAGCGCTATGTAAGAAGTGTATTTCATACACGTGTGTCATTAAAAATTAATTTAGAAACAGCCACTTGTTCCTGAAGCCCTTGGCACCAAGCCCTGAGCAGACTAAGCAGCATCTTGGCATTTTGAGAGCTTATGTGCAATCACTGGCTGGCTGTGCACCAGAATCACTGGCTCTTCAGGAAAACATACCTTGAGTGTCATCGGTCCTATTGCCTTGGTGCACTTTTGAGACTTCCCAGGCGCCGCTAGGAGACAGTCAGGGCTGAGAACTCCTGAGTGAGAGTAGCAGGGACTGAAAGATTGTCACAGTGGTTGGACACAATGGAAACAGATGTGGTGCCTTAGAGTGGATGCTGGGGGAGAAGAGAGGAGTTAATGACATTCAAGTAAAGTTGCTAAGTAGCTAGCAGTGGGCGTGGTCATGTAAGATGTGACCATGAGGGGACACAGGGGAGGAGCACAGGGACCCTGTGCTCTCTACAACTCTCCTGTGCATGTAAAGTCTGTCATGTTTTGTGCTTTAGCACTGGGCGGGGGCAGCTCTGGTGCTCAGGGTGCTCCCTGTCCAGCAGGCACTGGAACTCCCTGGGAGGGGCTCGGGAGAGACACCCTGAAGGGCACAGGCTGGTGCTCAGGGTCAGATGTGCCCAGTGTATGGACCGGGAGAACAAAGAGCAGGGAGCCAAGGAGGTCAGGCACACCTTGCAGGGGAGTTAAAGGTAGCTCAGCAGCAGCCTTGGAGTCTCTTTCTCTTTTTGGGACAAGCTCTCCCTGTGCAGGCTGGCCTTGAACACTATGAATGAAGCCCAAGATGGCCTGGAACTCGTGGTGATCCTCCTGCCTCAGCCTCCTGAGTGTTGGGACTACTAGTGTGTACCACCACACCTGGCTCTTTTTTTTTAACTAATACACATTTGCAGTGCATAGCAATTACATTCCTCATAGGGAGTTGGTGCATTTGCGCAACACATCTTAATTCTTTTATATCCCCCCACCTCCCTCCATCTCTTGGTCCTCTCTTCTTTTGCAAGTCCTGCTCTTTTGATCTTCAGTCTGACCCCTTGCTGAGAGCCTAGGATGGAAGTCTGAATCTCTCCTCACTTTGAATGAGATTTCCCATTTCCCTTTACCCACGAGCCCAACCCGGAGAGGTTTTGCTTCAGTTCGCCAGCTGGGAACAGTTCACAGGACAAAACCAGCCTGCCTATTTATAAACCCTGGGGCGCCTTCCACCTCAGAGATGGGGCCCGGGCCAGTCTGGTGCACTTGGTGGAGGGAGGGTGGCTTCCTGGGACCCTGGGCGGGCTGTGGCCGCTCTCATCAGGGGTGGCCCTGGTGGAGACGAATGGGTCACTGAGTGGCCAGGAACCGAACCACAATGGCACACCCGGGCTCAGTTCCCCAGATCCCCAGGGCCCCCAGCATGGCCCTTTCCTTCCCGCCCTTCTCACCTGGGGCGGCTCTAGGAACAATGACTGCGTCTAAAATCCTCGCCTGGAGAATGCGTCGGTTGTTTTTGCTGATGGGGACCCAGGCAGGGTAATTCTGAAGATGCCTCAGTGGCTTTGACAAATCTCCAGGGTGGAGGATTCCTGGACTGGAGGCCAATGGGAAGGCAGCACTGTGGTGACTAATTATGTTTGCTATGTAAGGAGGCAGAAGTGAGTTGCTGCAGTTTTGCATACTGTTGGCAAATGAAATTCAAGTTTCGGTGTAACAAAGACCTGGAGGCCACCGACTCTGACTCTGCTGGGCGTGGAGGGATGTGGGGATGAGGGGACATCACTCAAGCTGTACTGTACCGGGAAACAGAGGAGAGAAGGGGTGGAGTCTGCGGCTGGGGAGTCAGCATCCAGCTCCCACAGCTGCGAACCTGCAAAGGCCTGTGACCCGCCTTTCCGCTTCTCTGAGAGGCAGAGCATGGTAGGAACGGGCCTGGCTTTGGTGCAGCTCTGTGCCTGTGGCCTAGGACACATGGTATAATCTGTGTGCTTCCAGATCCTTACCTGTAAAATGGGGTGAAAGACAAGACTCTAGGGCTATGAGGATCAAACACATTTGCTGCGTGAATATGCAGTGTGTGACACAGCACCTGGCATCCAATCTGCACTCTCTAGTCAGCTTTGTCCTTAGACTTGCAGGCTGGGGAGGGGATGTTTCTCTGCAAACCATCTCTGCCTTAGAGAAAATAAACAAAACTTGTATTTGGTTCTTTTTTTTTGGTACCGGGGATTGAACTTGGGACCTTGCGCTTGTGAGGCAGGCGGTGGCACCACTGAGCTAAATCCCCGGCCCCAAACTCTTGCTATTTATTCAGTGTGAACAGTCTATGGGATCGGGGGCGGGCAGTATCAACCCCCTGCAGCCGCCCATCTCCTGCCCCCGCCAAGCTCTCTTGCAGGCACAGGGCCTGCCTCTGTCCACAGCAGCATCTCCTGTCTCCATTCGGCTCTCGCTGTGGGTGGCATGGATTCCTTGTGCCCGAGAGGGGGGAGACGTTCACCCAGCCAGGGGGACCACAAGGAGCAATTAGCAGGGTCAGAGAAGAGGTTGACCAAGGGGGAGGGGAGCAGGGGTCGGGGTCGGGGGGCCTGGATTTCCTGTTAAGGGCTGAATTGTGTCCCCTAAATGTACACGTTGAAGCCCTAAGCCTGCCGTACCCAGAATGCAATGCAAGTGGAGCCAGGGCCTTTGGAGAAGTGGTTAAGTTAAATGAGGCAGTTGGGGCGGGCCCTTGTCCAAGGTGACAGGTATCTTTATAAGAGGAAGTGTGGACGCAGAGAGACACCAGGGGTGCATGTACACATGTCCCCATCACCTGGCACCTGGATTGCAGTCTTCCAGCCTCCAGACCCGTGAAAAACAATTCCTGGTGTTTATTTAACCCATCAGCGGTATTGTTTATTAACCTTCTGCTATTTTATAACCCCTCAAGGTGGCATTTCATTATGGCAACTGGCACTAAGACGCGTCCCCACCTGGTTGCTAAAGGGCATGTCACATAATATCCGGCAATTTCTTTTGTGTCCTCACAGATAATGACTGCAGATTGTCCCTGGCCCTGGGGGAAGGCCTGAAAGAGGGGATTGGGTTGGCACCAGGGGTCCTAGATTCCGGGGTGTGCGGCCAGCTCATTCTCGCGGGCTCACAGCGAGGGAAGGAGAGGGACAGCTGCTTCTCTGCTCACAGCTGCGTGCCTGGTTGGGTCTCCCAGTTAAGCAGTAACCACTGTGCAGTTCACAGCTGGATGGAGGGGACTCCAACAGATGGTCCCGGGACCCTGCACCTGCCCAGTGGATGAAGGCTGTTTCTTCCGTTGTTCGGTGTCTCGAACAGGCTTTGTCACTTGTGTGTTTCTGAAGTCAACTCAACAGAGCCCTGGCTGCAATCCAGGCCCAGTGCTTGGCACCCGGCAGCTGTGGGCTTGCAGGAGACCTGGCCCACCCATGTCCCGCAACCCCACCCAGTGTCCTGTGTCAGGGCTCTTCCGGTTAAAAGTGACCAGAAGCCAGTTCACACCAGTGTAAGCAAAAGGACATATGCATATAACTGGAGCATCCTAAGGACGAAACTGGTTTGAGGCTTGGTTGCATCCCAGCGTCCAAGTGACATTCTCAGCCATGTGTTCCCTTGTCCTGGTCTCCAGCTCTCTTCTTTCTTCTTCAGGTAGATCTTCGTTGCGCCATGGCAAAGTGGCTCCCCCGCTCTGGGCTTGTATCTGAATGGCCCAATGAGAAGGTCTGGTGATGAGTCTGGCTCTGCTGAGGGCACAGGTCCATTTCTGAGTCCATTGCTATCACCCAAGGAGGGGTGCGAGCTCTGATTGGCTAGGTCTGGACCAGGTACGCAGCCTCCAGTGGGAGGAGAGGGTTAACCACAGGGAACTTTCCAGAAAGGGGTTCTGTTGCAGAAGGAAAAAGAAAAGGAGGAAGAATTCGGATCTATCAAAGCCTCTGGCTGCTCAGTCGGTGCTAGAACACAACAGATCCAAATCATTATGATTCCCAACCTCTCCTTACACCCCCTCCAACTGATGTGGGTCATCCCTCCTGCCTGGGCTGTGACAGAACCAACATGAAATCCATTGGCAGCCTATGATCAAACCTTACAGAATCTCAAAAGAAGACACACACATGACCACAGGTATGTGGGGAAAAGCTCAACATCATTAATCAGCAGAGAAATGCAACCTAAAACCATGCAACACCACCTTGCGCCTGTTAGAATGGTGATTGTCAAAAAGACGAAAGATACTAAGCATTGGTGAGGATGTAGAAAAGGGGAGCCCTTGCACACTGGTGGTGGGAGTGTCTGCTAATACAGCAATTGAGCAAAACAGTGTGGAGGGGGCTTAAACGACGATAGAACCCCATAGGACCCAGCAATCCTGCTCCTGTATCTACGTGAGAGAAAATGGAGTCAGGGTGTGGAAGAGACACTGGCACCACCCTGTTCACTGCAGTGCCATTCACGGGTGCCAAGAGGTGAAGACCATCTGAACAGACATCAGCAGAGTGGAGAAAGGAAATGTGGCACATTCACATCATGGAGTACTAGTCAGCGTTTTAGAAAGAAGGAAGACTTGCTGGACATGGTGGCGCATGCCAGTAATCCCGGCACTTGGGAGGCGGAGGCAGGAGCATCACGATGAGTTCAAGACCAGCCTGGACTACAGAGGAAGACACTGCCTCAAAAAAAGAGAAGAAATCCTGTCACTTGTGACAAACAGATGCACCCAGAAGACATTGTACTGGGTGGAATAAGAGAGGCACAAAAAACAAGTACCACGTGATCTTACTTATATGTGGAATTTTAAAAAGAAAATTAAAAAGTTGAACTAGGTAAAGAGCAGAATGGTGGTCACCAGGGGCTGGAGCAGGTTGAGGAGGTGGATTTTGGTCAAACATACAAATCTTCAGTTGGACAGGAGGAATGAGTTCAAGGGATCTACTGTGCCACATAAGCACACAGTTCGTAACAATGTCCTGTACCCTTGGAAAGAGCAAGAACAGAGTCTAAGGGTTTTCACCACAGAAACATATGTGAAACATACATGTGCTTCGGGGCTTGATTTAGTTACTCTACAATGTATACGTGGTCCAAAATGTCACGTGGAACATAAATACCTATAATTTTGTTTGCCAAGTGCATCAAAAAGGGAAGAAGGAAGGAAGAGAAAGAAAAAAGGGAGGAACCTAGGGAAGCGGGAGGGAAAGGGGGTGGGGGAGGAGAAAGAAAATGTCCAAAGTAAAACATGAAAGCACAGTCCAGGAAGGGTTGCTGCGGGATGCTGAGTTCCTGAGATCCAAGCAAAAGCTGGGACTCCAAGGCCACGTGTCCGACCGATGGCTCTCACTTGGGTACTGCCACCCTTCCATGTCTCCTGGAAACAAGACTGCTCCAGGTTGCTTCCTACTGAGACAGAGCTATGGGTGTCCCCAGCCTAGCTCAGGGTAACCTTTCAATACGTTCACCCTACAAGCCCCAAGGCCATTGAACATTCCTTGGAATTCTCTTGTAGTTTTGGGGACTCACCCTGATTATTTCCATCGCTGTAACAGGCTCTTTGGTGGCCAGCAGTGGATGGATTGTCAGCAGTAACGGAAGCATCCGTTTTCAAACACAACCTGCAGCCCCGTAAGGAGCTGTCTGTCATAGGAAGCCTCCTTCTATTTTAAGGAACTCGGAGCATCCTCCCAATGCACTGGAATATTCCCACACGGAACAAAGCCTCACATCACTTCCAGGGTAGGAAACTTTGCTTGTGGTGCCCTGCAAGTCCAGCATGTGTGGATTAGGGAAATAGATATATTGCATCCAGACCGAGCTGTGTTGGGAGAATCGCTGTATCACACACATGCTACGTGCCGGGGTGGGAGGGGGAATGTTTGAAGAGCTGAGGGATTATTGCCCTGTGTAATGTACAGTAAACCCAGATGCCTAATGGTAATGAACCAAATGGCAAAAATATTAATCAAAACCCCCAAACACTCATTGCTCAAGCGAGGACTCAGAAAGAGCACCTCATTTCTGGTTAAAGTTACCTTCAACAATGTGGCCTAAAGTACAACAATCATACTTTCTTGACCTTATGCAGGCTGGGTTTGAACTTGATGCTCCTGCCTCAGCCTCCCAGAATGCTGGGATTATAGGCGTGCACCACCACGCCTGGCTCCATGTGAAAATATTGGGATTAAAACGAGAGCCAGTTGGTGCCATGCTTGGCTTTTCCATGATGGAAATAAAATGGTTTTGAAAGAAGACCCTCAATCTGTGTGATCCTTTAACTAGAAGAGAACCGTGGAGCAAAATCCCTGCAGTGGGACTCTGGCCTCACTAGTCAGTCTATGAGGGTGACCAAAATTAAGCCCTCACAGGTTTCGATGATCGGTAAGATTCTCCACCAGCCTAAGACACCACAGTATTTTTTTAATGAGTAGTCACGCACCTCCTATTCATTTATTTATTTATTTTCTCTTTTTTTATCAGTGCACGTTTGTAGTAGGTAATGATTGCATTCATTATGGGGGGCAGGGGCACACACAGGACACATCCTAATTCTTTTCATGTCCCTTTCCCTTTT